CATTCCATACTTCTATTGGAATGCATCTTTTGATCATTGTACAACATTTAAATGTTCTACTTTGGTTCCAACTGAAATAAGTTTAATGTTTGTGTAGTTGTTATCTAAGCAAAGGGAAATGAAAAGTTACCTAGATCAAAGAAAATGAAAATGTTTTAAACTTCAAGTTATAATCTAGTGTACGTTCAAGTCTATGATCAAATCTATTATCCTTGGATTCTCAAAAAGATAGCAGCAGCAGATATGTGTCAAATATATTTATATTAATGGGGAACAGATCCGGGAATGCTTATTGATAATATTTATTAATACTCAATGGACTGCTGTATGGTTTGGTTCCTTGGCCAAATTGCTACAAAGCAAGGTAAAGGAAAACATTTTGAAATTAGTAGTTTAATGTATGTCTTCTTCCCTTAAGCATAATAAAATAAAATGTAGTCTTTCTAAAAATGTTTAAGTGATTGGGTGAAAATAACAGGTTTTTTTGCAGGATAGAGAAAGTTTAATATTCTTATTGGCAGTAGATGGATGAAGATGATGAACAATTGGAAATCAGCCAACTGCCCAGCACTCCAGCATGCGGCTTGTTTGTGTTAATAAAGAATTTGCCAAATAGATTGTCCATAGAAGAAATCAAGGGAAGCCTATTTGAGACGTGATTTCTTTTTAATACATTGAATATAAACAAAACTTTATTCTGAACTCTTTCCCAAATTACTGTTGGAAGGATAGATTCCAAAGACTAATATTGTTTGGAATGGATACATTCTTGCAAATAGTAAATATTGAGAACTATTTACTTATACACTTTTCTTTTCTCATGTTGTTTTTATTCAAATGTAATATAAATAAAACTGACCAAGTTAGATTAAGAAAAGGGTAATGAATTGATATGATGTATGGTTAAGTTACTCTTTTTCTCAAATAATTAATATTCTGGATATTATCTTCTATAAATGAACAGTTAATTTCTAAATTATGAGTATCCAAGGGAAAGCGTGTACTTAAATTAAATGATCAAATTTATAAAATATAGTACCTGGGAATTTCTAAGGGAAGAAATTAACTATGAGACTGTTAACTATGCCAATACAGTTTCCCCATTCTAAATTTAGATTAGCCTGTATGTACCAAAAAGATGTCTTACCTGTCATTTTATTCTGAGGAATTTTCCATTGTATATTAAAAAAATTAAAATACAAACTTGTGATTCTTAGTATTTATCATATTTTAATGTAGAATGGTTGACTTTTGGGAGAGATCAGTAGGTCAATTCTGTTCTCAGTCAGTTCTCATGTAGCTGGGCCTACTCAATGGAGCAGAGAGAGGTTCCAGGTTGGCCCTTCAATCATCAGCCTGTAATTATCTCCACACCATTCCAATTGAAAACAAGCCCATTTCTTCTTTGGATCTGAAGTATTCCTTGATTAAGTAGAATATGGTCCAAAATGCTCAGGTCATAATATATCTGTAAAATGTTACAAAATTCTAGGATATTGATTCCAGAGAACCAAGAATTGTGGTTTGTTCAGTCAGCATTTTTCTATTTCCCAAGTTTCATGTTCCCATTCTAGGCTTGGAATATTAAAACAGTTCATGGATACTGATGTCCAATGGTGATGAGAAAGTAAAAAGACTTTTCCTTTTCACTTATTTTGGAGATTGGCTGTACACAAACTGGGCAGCTGATTTTCATTTTTCATCCCACAAGAAATATAATAAGACAAAAATGACGCATGTGCAAAGTTCTTGCTTTATCATCTTCCAACTCCACCTTCTGAGTAGTATTGGCCAAGGTGCCAGATTTCATCAGGCCAAACATTTGATACTTGGGAGAGGTAAAAGTGGAACTTGGCCAATGAAGAGAAGAGCCTGCTAGGTGCCTACTCTAGATTTGTTAGTCCAGGCCTTCTGGCCAAGTTGGTGAGCGTTCAGAAACCTGCTAAATCTAAATCCAGCTCAGCCAAATTTTGTCACAGCTGGATCCTTGTAAAGTTAAGGACATGGTCAATAGCAATCTAAACTGGACCAGGCCTCAAGCCTGATACCTGTATAACAATCACTTCAAAACTGTGAGCATTTGAACTGCCCACAGGGGGCAGGGGAATGTAAAAGAGCAGCCAATAGATAATGGTACTGGTAACGGTAGTAGTAATACTTTCCTTAATTCAATATCTTGTGCCTCTGCCCTTGCAAATTTCAAGTTGAAGTAACATGATATGTCCATCACATCATGCAAGCTGGGTTTTGGGATTGGGGGGGGGGGGTAATCAAATGTAAACATGAACAATCTAGCTGGAGAGCTTTGTGATTATAAAAAGTAATCCTTTCTCCTTTCAGTTTTGATCCTTTCCCAATAATTAGCAACAATAACATATAACATTCCACTGGCATCTGAGCAAGTTCAGTTATAGTTGTTATTAGTTCAATTTGTTTGTGTCTTTTGGTGTGAATTTTACAGGATTAAATTCCCCCTTCTGAAAATGGTACAGTATGCTGTGAATTCAAATCTAATTACCTCTACACTTTTTTTCAATAAAAGAATGAAATTCAGAGTTTCATTTCACTGTATTATGTAGCATGTTAAATTATTGGGTAATAAGTACCAGATTGCTGGTTTATACTGAGCACAAGTGGCACCAGCCGAACAATGATTCAAATCTGAACAGAAGGTTAGACTTATCCTTTATAGCTAAAACCTCTACTAGAATGGGTGACCAAATGACACAAGAAGCATAGACCCTTTCTTGGGGTACAAGGGGTAAGTGTCTCATTCAGACACTCCATCAGACTTTCCTTGAGGTTCAGACCCAGCTGGGCAAAGGCTTCCTTTCCTATTCATGCTGATCAACATTCTTCATTACCAATATCCATGTGGAAATAAATCTGTTCCATGAAGTCCAATCATTTGGAAAGACAAGGAGGACTGATTCACGTTTCTCACTTGGGCACTAAGAGTATTTCATCTGCCTTCTCATGAGTTGCGTGGGAATCCTGTAAGTACTTACAACTACTGCCCTCCTCTAAAAATAGTGAATACGGGGGAGAACACCTTTAAGTTTTAAACTTTTTTACTCTCCTGGTGATCGTGAGTTTTTATCTATTTTATACTATGGATTTATATATTTATATATATATATATATATATATATATATATATATATATATATATATATATATATATATATATATATATATATATATATATATATATATATATATATATATATATATATATATATATATATATATATATATATATATATATATATGTTTTCTGAGGTTTTCGCGGGTGTTTGTACGTAGGTCTTTAGTTATTCGGGTTTTCTCCTGTGTAGAATTAGAAGTGTCTTGGCGACGTTTTGACGAAGTCACATTCGTCATCTTCAGGCTGGTGTCTTCAGCTTTGTGCTTCTGGGAGTAGTGTGTGTGATCGCAGCTGTTTCTTCCTTTTAACTGCCAGTGGGGTTTGAGCTGATTGGGTGGGAGCTTGGCTATGTTCTGATTGGGTGGAGGTGTGTTCTGATTGGTTAAGGAGCTTGGCTGTGCTCTGATTGGATGGGGGGTTGGCTGTGTTCTGATTGGATGGGGGAGTGTTCTGTTTGGGTGGAGGCTTTGTTGTGCTGAGATTAGTTTGAGTTGCAGGGGCATTTGAGATGGTGAGCTCCATTGCTGTTGTTTGGCTTCGTGTTCGTGGTTGTGCCACATCTTTATGGTGGGTGTCAGTTTGCTTCATGTATGGATTAGAGGGGTTTAAAGTGGCTAATGATGCAGAATAATCAGAGAAGCCATCGAGATAGAAAAACGCCCACACAGCATGAATAAACGAGATGATACCTCCCGCCTACCAGCCATTTGGAAACCCACCCTTATTGGCAAACGAGTCCCTAACACAAAGAATGACACCAGACCCACACTCACGAAAACCACACAGGATGTCACCACCACATATCCACGCAAAAAGCAAACTCAAACCCACACAGATGATGAGGCACGACCACAAACTAGAAGCCAGTCCACAGCTGCATCATTAGCCACTTTAAACCCCTCCAATCCACACATGAAGCAAACTGACACCCACCATAAAGATGTGGCATGACCACGAACACGAAGCCAAACAACAGCAATGAAGCTCACCATCTCAAATCCCCCTGCAACTCAAACTAACCTGAGCACAACAAAGCCCCCACCCAAACAGAACACTCCCCCATCCAATCAGAACACAGCCAACCCCCCATCCATAGTCTCGTGTCGGTTCGAGGAATTGGTTAGTCTTGTGTGGAGGTGGGTTAGTCTACACAGCCAAGCTCCCACCCAATCAGCTCAAACCCCACTGGCAGTTAAAAGGAAGAAACAGCTGCGATCACACACACTACTCCCAGAAGCAGGAAGCTGAAGACACCAGCCTGAAGATGACGAATGTGACTTTGTCGAAACGTCGCCAAGACACTTCTAATTCTAAGCGGGAGAAAACCCGAATAACTAAAGACCTACACACATATATATATAATTCTAGGTTTGTTTGTTTGATTGATTTCTATAGCCACCATCTCAGCAAATAACTCTGGGTGTTTCTTTTCTGAATTCTTTTACCATTCTGGAGCTTCTTCAATACTTCTTAAGCAAAAGACATCTAGATCAGCTAGCTCATGGAAAGGGAGAAAGTTGGAACTGGTAGAAAAGCATTATATGTTGTCTTTATTTTATAACTAGGCAGAAAAAATATTGCGGACCAATGCATTGTTTCCAGCTCTATTAGGCTGTCATATTCCGTGATGCATCTGGGCAAATCTACATATTCAGTGACCTTTTGAGAAGTCATCTCTGTTTTCTGCCTGAGGGAATCATACTTTATTCCTGAGAGTTGTCTTTCACACAGAAATTGATTATTTTAGAAATTCTACAGGATCCACTTACAACCAGAATGCTTTCAGTTCATTTTATTTGTTTAATAAAAAAGGAAAACTCACAAAGCTTGCATGTATATCTTATATATATAAATATATACAGTATATATAAATCAAATGATTTCGGGCAATACTGTTGAGTATGGCATGAAACAAAACAAGTAGCAAACAAAGTAAGTGGAGACTTAGTCCAATACAATAGGCTTAAGCATGCCTATTTCTGTATTAGATTAAGGCCTCCGATTTTTCCATTGGAAATTAACTTTCATTTATAGTACCTGCACATCTGGATTCTGCTCTTTGGGTTTCTCCAAGATTTGTAAGTTTGTACCAGCTTTTCAATTCCACAGAGTAATATCTCAAATACATTCTTATACATTTTCACCAGGATGAAGTGTTCTATGTGATTTGAAAATTTATACACTCCTACATTGGCAGAAATTGGTTCAAAATAATGTATTTTTATATTTAGAGATTCTTTGGAAACCAGCATAACAATATCAAAGAGGTTGTGGCAGAATAAACAGTAACACACACTTATCTATAATCAAAATTGACTTCAAACAGCTAACAGAAGGAGAGATTCTAGCCAATAGACATAAAAGTTTAGATGCTAAGGCATCAGGCATATGCTGGTGTTCACAACATCAGTTGGGATCCCTTGTGCTTTGAATGGATCAGAGCATCAATGACCATGAGGATCTTTGGCATAAGATTTCAGATTATTTTAGAAGACTTCAAATAAAAGAGTTGAGGGGCAAACCCAGAAGTCCAATGGGGGACACAGAAGAGTCAAGTGCAGGATCTTTGGATTTGCAGTCATTCCTAGGATGAATTCAAGCCTTGTGTCCTTCACCAAAGAAGCTCCCAGAAGAGATTTCTTGGCACTTTTGCAATATTTGTGGGGGTTATTTGTATTTGCATTTTTATTTGTATTTGTAGCATCATGTTGGAAACTGTTTTCCATTCACTTGGATCCTGCTTTATCTCCAATGCAAAACTTTAGCTCAGGTTGATGGTCTTTCTAAGTCTGAACAAATGGCAAAGAAGGACAGTTGCCTCTTTCTAGATTTGGGCTGTTCTTGCAGGTTGTTGCCCTCTAATTTACGGTTGGCACCTGGTTCCTCTGTAAACTATATTCCTTTGCCTTCAGTCTCAGATTGGCAATGCTGTTAGCCATATTCATGCCCTGAGCTGGGTTGGCATTGGTACAGGAAGCAGAATAAGAAGCCATGGCAGTACTGGGAGGCAGAGAAAGAAGAGGGGAGGGAGGAAAAAACAACACCAGATCATCTTTTGATTCTACAATTCACGTGCATGCAGGTGACCTACATGAGGTATGTCAAGTATCTAGAAAAATAACTGGCTAGTTTACTGAAGTCTTGCACTGCAGTTTGATTTTTAGCAGTTAAAACTTTACATGGCATCTGCAAATGAAGTAACTAAGAAAAATGGAAGGATAGAAGCTTGGAGCCAAACATTTACAGCCATATTATGCAACTGTATTCCACCAATCTTAATTTCTAACGAGTACTACTGATCTTGGAATGATGTGCCAGGGCTATGGCTCAAAAAAGGGTGGGGCAATAAGAAAAGCAAACTTATTTCAACTGAATGCATTTTTATTTTAAATAAGTTATCATTCCCTGTGTACATAATAATTGTGTCCTGATCCTAAAACAATTAAAACCTAGCAACAACACTTGTAATGGAACAAAATATCATCTCACATATCAGACCTTCATATTATGTTTTCTACTCTGAGTTAGGAACAATTGGAATAGGAACCATTCCAGACCTGAATCTCAATTGTGGAAGTGATTGATAATTTGGTGAAGACACCCCCAATCTCGTGACCTGCAGCCATGCCAGCTGGGAATTCTGGGAATTGCAAATCCAAGCTGTCTGTAGAGCACCAGGTTGGGAAGATACTACTGCTAGTACACTTAGGAAGAGCCTTTAATCATATTGTACACATACAAGATATTAATAACCATATAATCCTAAAACAAGTGAATTCAGTTTGTCAAGGTTCTCTTGTCTAGCAGGCAGATACACATTTAGTGTGGAAGAACTACTTCTACATCCCAGATCAGAGTATCATAGGAACTATTATCACAATGCATATTCCAATGTGGAACGAGGGGATTAAAATATACTTTAATTTACAGAGAATTCATTTCTATAGGCACACTTTCTAAGCATCTCAATGTTTAATACTCCTCTAAAAGCAGATTTATGTGTACTTCAGTGCATATGTCAGATTTTTCATAAGTAGCATTAAAAAAGGAACATAAATGGATCATGCAGAGAATAAACAAAATTGCACATGTTTAACCAGGACACAAAATAAATGGGACTGCCAACTGATAGCACTTTGGTCTTTCTAGTCATGGGTCTCTTTCATACCTGTAGCTTTTATGGTTTCATTCAGGTTCCAAAGTCTTATAACATTTTTTGTCTACAGATTAGATTTATCACTGGATGAAGAATCTGGGAATCAATCCTACAAAGTATAAATCAAAACTGTTATAGGGCTGCTAATCCTGTTACAATCAGGAATGCAGAATTCCCGTGGCTCTCTCCATGCCAGAGTCTGGATCCACAACCAGGCAAAAGTATCTGAAGAAAAGGTCTGAGTAGAACTCATAGGTCCTTCTGATTCACACAAGTCTCACTGACATGAGTATAGTAAAAATAGTGATCAATGCTTTAAAAACCTACAGAGCTAAATTAAAAGTAGCCAAAAGAATATTCTGATTATTTTTTTCTGGGACATTTTTTTATTTTTTTGGAAAATATTTCCAACTATTTTCAGCACAAAATATGTTGCTTTCTGTATCTACTCTGTGTGTATTGGTGGTGTGTTATAGGCTTGTCTATTTGTGAGTTCCCTAGAAATCTGTTTTGAGTTTGACAGCTTAATTTTAATCAGGCACTGACCAGTGGCATCTGTAATGAACACTTCTGAGAACTGGTGCACCAATTTTGTTCCAGTGGTTCAGTACCCATTTCTTTGAAGAGAAGTGAATTAATCTCCCTTAGGTTTACCAAGTTCCTCAAATAAACCCATTCATTTCCAAGAATCTGGTGCTGGAAATATTCCCAGTGGTTTAAACCCAATTACTGTTTGCCAGATCAATCAGCCTTTGGGTTCTGCCTTGCCTTTCTCAGGCTTACTGGCAATCAAAATATTTTTTAAAAAAAAATGACATACCAAGCAAAAACATGGTCCATATTTATTTTTGTTTGTTTTTCTTTGTTATACAGAGTTTAGCCAAGAGCATTTCCCATGAGTTTTGTGAAATACTGTTTGCTTTGGGGGGGGGGTTTCTTCTTTTTCCCCCCCTTTGAAAAAAAGACTTTCAAAGGATGATCTTTGAGGGTGGCAGGCAAAAGAGCTGCCAACGGTATAAGAGAAGAAAACAACAGTGATTAGGCCTGGGAATAGTTCTTCCTTTGGGCACAGGAGCCAATTACTGTGGAAACATGACCTTTTCTCATAATTTGTCAGAAATTAAAAGGGCAGCTTGCCAGATGAGATGTGATGAATCAGTGTTGAGTCAAAATGACAAAGATGCACCAAACCATTTTTCAGAGATTAATGAAAAAGTGAAGAATAAGTGTCTGTGGCTTTGAATATACTGCTTTGGTTCGGATTGGACAACAGTCCGCACATGAAGCATTGCTGTAAAATGGACCTGAGGGGTGCCAGCACTACTTGGCCATGTTGGCTGCATAGCATGCGGTATCATCATGTCCAGGGTTTGATTCTTATTTGTTTGGACTGAACTAGGAAGGATCTGCACTGCCTATCCAATAGAAATTCTAAAGAAACAGCCACTGTCAGCAGTTACCACAGAAATGAGAGCTGAATTGTACCCCTGTTTCTGAGGCTGAGAGCAACATTTGGCTTGGGATGGTTTTTACCCAACACCCTTTTCCTTCTACCCTCAGGATATATATCAGGTATGCCCAGTACTTTTTTTCTAAAAATTTTTTTTTTTTTTTTTTTTTTTTTTTTTTGATGCCGGAACTCACATATGTCATACAACCTGCCTTGCCTAACTCAGGCACTGAAACCAAATCAAGCCATCATCTATGTATCATTTAGGAGAGGGGTCTTGCTACAATGTTTTGCTTTATAAAGAGAATCATTAGTTCTGACTATATATATTCTGTTAGCTATTTAAACCAAGTGAACAAGGGTCACAATGGAATTCCAGTGAGTCCAGTGTGTGTCCCATTACTCAATCACTTTCTTTTCTTATCTTCCTTGTTTTTCCAGAAGAGCCTGCCAAACTCCTTTAAATCCCCTTTCTTATTTTTCTCAGCACTAACCTTTTTCTACTTTTCTATATCTACTCCCACTTATGCTTGGTGTCTTGGCCAGAAAGAGTGTAAATTCTCAAAGTAGCCTATTTAGACTATAATCTATAAGTTTTTGCTTTGAAACTAGCTTGCCAGTCACAGCTTTTTCCCAAAGAATCTTGTGAACTTTAGTTTGCTGAGAGTGCTGGAAATTGCTCTCATTCAGTTCATAACTGAGATAAGATTCTATGGTCCTTACCTAGGTTTCCCCTTATATGAACATTATCCTTATTTGGACATACATGCCTCAGGGTACATACAGTTTTTAGGCTTTGTCACCCACCTGGAAGGAATGACAGGTGGCTGCAGTGAACCAGAGGCAACCAACAGGGGTACAAGATATATAGTCACCTGTAAGGAGAGGCAGTTCCCCAGGAGAGATAGTCAGTGGCTCTTGGCGCTGGGCGAGGTACAATTGGTTGCTCCACTGCAGTTACATCACCTGAGTAAGACTTAAGGAGGGATGCATTTTTGTTGGCCAGCATTGCTCGCTCATTCCTGCGAAACTTTGCCCGCCTGTTCTGAAACCACACCTAGGAAGAGAAGCATACCAGAACCAGGTATCAGATACTGTGGTATGAAAAAATGCATTGCAATATTCTACATCAAAATCAAAACAGATCCCTTACTGCTCCAGTCAGCACAGCATAAAAAGTTTCAATTCACATAGTGACTGTGTTTTTGTTGGCCAGAATGGGATGTTTTTGGTTCACTGAGGATGTTAAAATAGGATTTAGGGAACATACGTTCAATACTCTACTCACAAGAAGGAGCAGGGCTGGCATTTTCAGGTAAAGGAATGAATATACTCCACCATCAAAAAAGGAGAGAGAGCACTGGTAAGATATTGGATCAAGAGGTTAAGATGAAACAACCATACCATCATTTCAGCTTATCTAACCTGAGATTATGACCTTTAAGAAATGAGTAACTTATTATTCCATACAGGGCTAAATGTAATCATTACATTTTAATAAATATGCAATAAATATTAAATATTAAATAAAAATGAATAAGTTACTAAGCTATATAAACTATTTAGTAAATATGGCCCATTTATCTATAAAGCAGAGATGGGGAGAATACTTTCACTCTTAAACTAAACAAGTGTGAAAGAAGAAAAGTGCAATTGTGAAAATTTTCAATGATCTACTTAGAAAAAATCAAAGGGATCTAGTGAGGTGTTTTGGGGGCTCCAAAATCTTCCTCCTCCTCCTCCTCCTCCTCCTTTGTTTTTATTATCAGTTGTAGTGAGCAGGATGCTGCACTCTGGTGGTAGAGTTATTCACAACTGGATTCTGGCTGGAATTCCTTTTTTCAAAGAAAACCTCTTGTGTTTATTACAGACGTTAACTCCCAGTAAATTTTGGAAACTCTTCCACTCATTCAAGCAAGGAGCCAAACCTAAATCTTTGACTAGATGCTATTGGAAAGTGAGAGAGGAAAGATGAAAAGGACTGACAGTGAGCCTCTGCTTGACATTCCTCTAGGTTTGCCTGGTTCCTCATATGAGAAAAATCCTTTGGATAAATAATCAAATCTAATGGAATGAGGTTATTCATATTCACAGTTTTTCTAGGTTTTGGAAATGATTTCATACTTAGTTACCACCTTTCCCATTGCATTTAAGAAGCTATCGCATTAGGCTACTGTATATAAGCTATTAAGAAGTAATTGTTTCTACTTCTTAAAAAGTAAAATCTTTGAATAGTGAGATTGGTAGCATATGCATTTAATAAATAAATAAATAAAATCAATCTATGGGATAAAAGGCAAGCTATGAGCTGGTTTAGTCAATGGCAGGTACTGTACTTGGCAAGCAGCAGTAACTGTAAAGAGGAGAAAAGGTTTGCCTTGCTGAGAGATGCTCTCTGACTGTCTCATCTATTTGACTGATATAATTATCAACAAAATGCTAGAAGTGGATCAGGGTGAATACCATATGTGCAACTATTCACAATCCATATCCCAGCTCTTCAAAATAATGTTGAGGCTTCTAGCAATCACTTTAGTGAATGCAATGAGCATATGTTTCTAAACGTAAAAATAAATTGGGCATCCCTCTGAAAACTTCAGTAAAGTCCACTACTTTGAATGATTTTTGGGGGCAGCCTTTTTCTTGGCTTAGAACATGTCTATGCTGTAAATTCAGTTAGAAATACAAACATAAATTTTGACATCTCATTCCCACTAACTTTCTTCAGACTGTTAGAGCAAAGAAAGTTTGTAACTCCTTCTAGAATCTAATAATTTTTCCCTGTTGTGGTATTTTATAGATTAAAGTCAACTACAGAAAGATAATCTACAAAAATATGGATATTGCTAGTTCCTTGGGAAAAACACTTTGGGCACAATCCAACCCAAACAAAACACATAACTCTTTCGGTTTTACAGGAATTATTTACCATGGCTTGTTGAAATCACAGGAAACCTACAATGATTATGTCCAGAACATTTATTCATAGAATCCCACACTGAACTGTTTTAAATGAGGAGCATCTTCTGTTGAAGGAGCAAATAAAGTCTTGTTCAGCCAACAGTCTGAATCCTAGTTAATCCTCCCAAACAAAATGTCCAGTTTCTTTCATGTACATTTGTGAGATTAAGGAGACACTGGAGAAAATATTGGCCATTATATTTGCTAACTAGGAACAAGAAGCTTGTTTTTATCTTCTATCGTTAATGTTTTCATTCCAGAATATAGGTTGCAATTATCTATAACTTTTCTTTTCTAAAGTGCCTGTTATTTGTATTTGTATGTATTTGTTACCTTTGTTAATGTTGCCTAAAGTAGTGTAAGCTTTTGGGAAATTGGAAAGGCTGCATCTCAGGAACATCAGTATTACATTATACTGTACTGTCATGGCATCTCTGTAACTATCTTAGAAAAGAAGGGGTGTAGAGCAGTAGTTGCAGAATTCTGCAGGGCACTTTTATAATTAGACCCTGAATGAGTCTGTAGTAAAAGAGCATGCTGTTATGGAACATTTATGGAAGAACAGGTAATGATACTCTCTCCCATAATCATTTCTAGTTTTTGAAGAAAATGTTAGTTAAGACAATGTTTTCTAGTACTTTTGCTCATATAATAATGGGGATACAGAATTGTTTGCATAACCTAGATTTAGTTTTAGAAATTTAAAAATGGGAGGTTTCCAGCTCTTAGGGTTGTAAATTTATGACATAAAAATATATAGAAAGATCTGTAGTGAGGGAATAGTTTTAATTTGTCTAGAACTGGTGCCCTAATCAAATACTTATCCACTTACAGGTAGTCCTTGACTTACAATCACAGTTGAGCCCAAAATTTATGTTAAGTAATTTTTACCCCATTTTACAACTTTTCTTGCCACAGTTGTTAAGTGAATCACTGCAATTGTTAAGTTAGTGACATTTTTCTTAAGTGAATCTAGCTTTCCCATTGACTTTATTTCTCAGAAGGTCCCAAAAGTGACCTTGGGATATAGTTGTGAAGCATCTGAATTTTGATCATATGACTATGGGGATACTCCAACATAAGTCTGAAAAATGGTCATAAATTACTTTTTTCAGTACTATTGTATCTATGAATGGTCACTAAATGAACAGTTGTAAGTTGAGGACTGCCTGTATTTCATCCTTGCTCCTTGAAAGTTGTCAAAATGTGGAGCTCAGAATAAAACATTTAAGTCAACAACTTACAATAAGACAATAAGACAAACTAAAACAATACAATAAGACAAACTAATAAGAAATATTGGTCTTCGTAATTAAAGAAAACAATTATTTAACATTTTATTTTAGCTTAAAACATTTTAGCTTAAAAATAATCTAATTAGTGAAACATTTTAGCTTAAAATAATATAATTAGTGAAACATTTAGCTTAAAATAATCTAATTAGTGAAACTATTTTTATATGTGAAACTATTATAAATGTTCAAGTATTAAAATTCAAATATTCATATTGTAACAACCTGCTAAAATGGTTAATACTTTTGGTTGTAGCATACATCAGCTGAATTTGAATGGATTTAATTTATTGGAGTTCCAAAAATGTGATCCAAATGCTATTCTTAAATTTTGAAACAGCTATTCCACTGCATGGGGATGCAGGGATTAAAAAAAAAAAAAGGAACAGCCTTTTTCTCCCATCTTATGGCAGATAACTCTAGCAACCCTCTATATCCACAATACAGCATTGTTCTTTGTTTGTTTGTTTGTTCGTTCGTTTCCATACATACATTCTGATGCCTAGTATATGAAATAAAATACAGGGATGGGGAAATCAAAATACGTTTTAAAACAGCAGAAATAGAAAGATGGATCCATTTTTGAAACAAAAACTTCTAAAGGGGGCTGGAAGAAAGGATAATATGTTTACCTCTTTGTGTTTTTTTTGTTTTTTTTTAAAAAGATACAAGGAACAAAAAGAATATGTCATCTGGTCTGTTCTTTGGGGTGCTGGAATCATTACCTGGACCCGAGCCTCAGTGAGGTTGACCCTGCGTGCAAGGTCTTCTCGTACAAAAGCATCTGGGTAATGTGTCCGCTCAAAGACTCTCTCCAGGGCCTGAAGCTGGCTGCTGTTGAAGGTGGTCCTGTTTCGCCTCTGCTTTCGTTTCTTCTTCTCTTCAGAATTCAGCTGATCACCTGGCAAAGGAGATAGCCGAAAAACTGGAGTGGGGAGGTGATTCAGTAGATCAAACAAAACTGTTCATCAAACAAGTGGCTTTTGAAGATTGAGGTTTTTTAAAAGAAAAACTGCATGGCAATTAACAGGTGAGGTCAAATATAATCCAAAATAGCAGTAAAATAGAACAACATGCAACTTTGCATAAATGTTCTATGGCTGCTCAAATGTAGGGTAATCTTACATTACTATGGCATATGAGTGGTCATACAGTTTAGTGTTTCAATTTCATCTCCCTTTATTGGCTGAGTGAAAAAGTAGTATTGTCTTCTTAACGCCAAAATCGCGCCCACCCCATTGCCGGCAATGGGAAAAAAGTCGCGATACATCGCAACACGTCACGTGACAGCACGAGTTTGACACCCGTGTTGTAGAGCCTTTCTGCAGAGCTTGTTTCTCCAAGACCACTGTCCTCCATGGACCAGACAGCCATGTGTTTATGCTGTGGAACCTGCCCCCACACGAATGGTTTACTAGCCAGAGAAAACAGCAATGACAGCATTATGATAATAACAGGGAAATGGAGGAGATCTGAAAAAATGGGCCATAGCAGATGTCCAGATGGAAGATGTGCTTGATAAGATTCATGGCATTATAAAACTTACATTTCTTCCACTAAGTGAATTTCCTTTTTAACTGTCCTTTTTATTGTGATATTATCCAGCCCAGCCTTACCATTGCTCTTTCTAATAAAACTATTATAAGAATTCTAATTATTAAACATGCATGCATAATTTTACAATACATTCACTCCACAGTAAGAAAATACAATATGCTGGGAACACAGCGACCTCATAACCCTGAAGGCAATCTCTATAGTAAAGTAAGACATAAAATGGTCCCTTAAGTATCATTACAGGGTGGAAAGCAAAGTACAGGAACACACAATATAAAAACTTCAGCTGGGAAAAAGAAGGAAAAAAAACCCAACACCCACTCCAACAGCAAAGCAAACCACTTCAGGTCAACCACGATCTTAACTGTGCAAGCCACAATTAGTGAAATGATTAATAGCAGAATAAAATAATCCAGTTGAGCTGCCAACTTTTTTCTGGCAAAACCTGCTGAGCTTTTGATAGCTACATGATGGCTAGAAATGCAAAGCCTAAACTCTTCTGTTTATTAAGAAATTACAAGATATTGTATGAAAAGTAGAACTAATACAAGCTTTTTGTCTCTGATTAATGTGCTAGGGACGGTATCCCTGTTCCAAAGAATCAATAATGGAGTCCTAAGAACCATTAGATGTTTTTCACAAGAAGCCTGCACTTAATCTGAAGCCTTTCTAATATCATATTTAATCTGGAATTTTGTATGTGATATATGTATGGTAACCATTCTACCCTAAGGGATTCATTTAAGTAATACTTGAGAGTATTTGCCAGAACATACAACTTAACATTGCTTTGAACAGTATTTTTATGTTTGGGTTGGGGGGGGCATTGTTTAGTCATTTTGAATGCTCAATTGAAAAGAAAGGTATGATGTAAATTGAATAAAAAAATAAATGATACATAAGAAAACTCTTTTTCCCAATCCACGAAGGGGGAGTGAGGTGGGCTTTATTGTTGCCTACAGATTCTGGGAAGACTGATCCCAGGTGTAATCACATTGTCAATGTTGTGATAATTAAGAAATTACAACCATTTTACCTTTTGCTTTTACTGTGCTTTTTCTGCTGTTTGAGAGATTTAGATGTGGAAGGGGGGATGCTCAAGCATTTTCAGTTAGCCATAGCAATTGCAGCTTTGTGTGAACTCAAGGTCAATGTTAGATAAAGTTTTGGCAGGTTGAGAAGTTGGGAGGAAAGCCCTGTTTTGGAATAATTGGTGAATGTGATTTATGACAGCCTTTCTGGGGCGGGAATTACAACTTGTTACTTTTTATCTGGGGGGAGGGAACTTCAGTCTTGGGTTTAACTATATAAGTGCCGATACTTTGTTTTTTGAATAAAATGTTCTTTAAGGAAGAAATCTTTGCCTTGAAGTTTTTTTAATTGGTTTCATCTATCGGAACCATGACATTAACCCAAGACTCACTTTTTCTTTAATTTTATGGGGTCCTGAGCTCCAGTCACCTACCTAAGCAGAAGGGAGGCTGACAAAGACTCAGGGAAGATCCTAAAATGGAGAAGCAGGAGGAACCTGTCACCAGCACCACAACCACAGCTACTACATCAGTGGATGGAGCGCAGGCCATCGCACTGATAGAGAGTGTGGTTTCTGAGACTCCAGCAGCAGGGGCAAGACCAAAGATCTGAGAGCACATCTGGTCATCGGAATGGACCCTGCCTAGTGGAGACTCATGGCATTCAGAGATGGCCCAGCTGAAGAAAAGGTCTTCAAAGGGTGCTGAAATTGAATTTCCATTGATTGCCTCCCAGGAGTTACACTCTCCTGATCATAGAGCAGCTAAGTGGGTGGCGCCATCAGATGAGTCGGGTGAGTGGAAGTATCTGACTGCAATCCAGCCAGTCAGTCGAGCGTTTGAGGTAGATATTCTAAGGGCTAGACATGGGAAGCAAGGAGTGGGCCACCCACCCATTGCTGATCAGCAAGCAAGATGACAGGCACCTCCGAGACTGTTCCCAGTCCAGGAGAAGCCCTACTCTCATCGGTGGAGCCAGGGCCACTTCCCCGCGACTGAAGCCACCACTTTAACCTCAAGCCCAGTGTGGAGGAAAAGCCTGGATCATCGGCAGCAGTGTGCTAGCCCTGACCGTCATCAGCAGTCGCTGAGTCCTGACCGCCACCAGCAACGTGACAACCCAATGTGTCGAGAGCGGTATGTTAGCCCCGAGTGGCATCGCCCCTATGTGAGCCCTGCCCAGTACCCATGCCACTGTAGTCTGGACTATCACCGGCGCAGGGAGCCCTGATCATCACTGATACCAGGACCACCTGGTCTGTCACTATCACTGTCGAAGCCCTGAGTCTCACCACCGGCAACGCAGCCCTGAATACCATCACCAATGCTACACCAGCCCAGAGCCCATGCCAAGGTTTGATCAGGCAGGGAGCATTCAACATGGCCTGATGCACCAGTATGGATGGCTGCACGCCTTGCTAGACAGGCAGCAACCTGTAACACCCCCACCTTTTAAACCCACTTTTGACGGAGACCCTGAGAAGTTAACTTTCTTTTTGAACCAAGTGCATTCCTATATGAACTGAAATGCCAATGCCTACGTGGACCCTGCCATGATGGTCGATGTCATAGCAGCAAACCTAGAGGGGGAGGCATTGGAGTGGCTGAATAGCTTGCACAACGAACAGGCACCAGAGCTATGGGACTACAACCTATTCATCCAAGGGCTAAGGGCCAGTTTCGAGGACGAATCCATAGCTCTACAGGCAGAGAAGGACATTCATGAAGTGAAACAGGCAGGTAGACCAGCAAAGGAATATGTGCATGCATTCCAGAGGGTCGCGGGTCACATTGAGCGGTGGCCAGAACAATCCCTGGTGCACCATTTCAAGAATGGCCTGGACCCCCATATGTTCCAAGCCTGTGTCTATCATGGGATTCCTGACCAACTGCAGGAGTGGTACTGGGTAGCAGTAAAGATGGACATAGACCTGACCTGCTATAAGAAGCCGACGACTACCTCACTGGGACCCAGGCCAGAACCGGCGAGATGACCACCACCTCGACAATCCCCAGCAGCAGGTGCATTGGAACCTCCTAGGCCATCTTCAGCCCCACCGATCAAATGTTTTTGATGTGGCCAGCTGGGTCACTGGGAAGCAGCTTGCCCATTCCTACAGCAGAGAGGTGGCTCAGCCCCACCGGAGAAAAGAAAAGTAACCCAGCCATCTGCCAGGGAGAAGTCAAATTGGGTCACACAAGAACCCGTTGCCCAGGTCACCTCATCCACTCAAGAAAGTCAAAACCCCAGCTGATTCAGGCACCGCATTAGCTCCCTATGACAGCAATGACGAGGGGGAGAATGACCCGATGGTGAGTCGACCTATTCCACCTTTTACCCTTTCGGCCAAACTTATAGTTCCTAAGACAGGAACTCAAATGGATGTACGGGTATTGGTAGACTCGGAGTGCTCACGATGCATTATCACGATGCCAATTGCTCTCAAATTGGGCATTCGGGCAAGGTTACTCTCCAAACTCATGAAGTTTTAACAGGAAGGTGGGTCTTTAATGGGATGAACCCTAGTCATTCATCTAACTGAGCCAGTGCAGCTAGAAATAGGTGAACATTGGGAGCTCATCCGTTTTGTGGTGGCTCTGAAAATGACTGAAGCAGTGATTCTAGGCCTAACTTGGTTAGACAAGTGGAAACCCTTTATCTGGTGGGAGAAAGGGATGAGAACCCTAATTTGCCCATAGGGCCATCCCCTCCCTGTTCCTCCTTGGACATTAGTGGCGAGACAGAGCCGCTGGCCAACACGATAAAGATAGCCACCATCCTCTTGCCTGGAGAGCCAATAATCCCCAGCAAATATTGAGACTTGGCAGAAGTGTTCAGTGAAAAGGAATGTGATGTCCTGCCACCCCACAGACCAAATGACTGTGCCATTGAGATTTTACTGGGAGTCAAGTTACCAAAGCCAAAAATGTATGCAATGACACCCCTCAAGGTGGAGGAATTGCGGCAATACATTGACAAGAATTTGGCCAGAGGATTCATTGAGCCGGCCAAATCCCAAGTAGCAGCCCCAGTACTATTCAAGGAAAAGAAAGATGGGTTGCTCTGTCTTTGTGTTGATTCTAAGGGGCTCAATTGCATGAGTGTGGAAAATATGTACCCCCTCCCTCTACTGAAGGATCTGTTAACCCATCTGGCAAAGGGGCAAACTTTTACTAAATTAGATTTGAGAGAGGCATATTACTGCATGAGAATAAGAAAAGGCAATGAATGGAAAACTGCTTTTAACAGCCCTTTGGGCAGCTATCAGTTCAAAGTTATGCCATTTGGATTACAAGGGGCTCCTGCTGTGTT